CACGTATACATATTATACATACATGTACATGTACGCACGTATACATATACATATATATACTTTCTTACACGTACGCATGCAAATATGCACATATATATAATAATAAATACCTGTAAGTTCAGTTCTAAGATGTCATGAACTAATCACAGAGCCGTATTAGCGTCTTAAGACATTACTCAAGATGGTCTTAAAATAAAATCCGACTCTGAATACCGGCCTTAGACGTCTTAATAATGTCTTTAAAACGTCTTATATCCAGATTTTGGATACGGTGTTGTCTAGAATACATATATAAATTGAGAAGATAAATATATATATATATATATATATATATATATATATATTTGTATAAATACTACATATATAAATAAGAATGTATTTTATAGAAAAAGTAAGCTTGAAACTTACCAGTATCTTATATTCACACACAAAGATTTTTTGCATACGTAAATATTATTATTATTGTTACAAAATGACTAAATAACAGCTGCAATGACAGTTGCTCACGAAGTAATCGCTACGTCAGCGAAAGAGTTAAATATGAACTATCTTCAGTACTTAAGATGGTATTAAATATAAGATCCACCTATGAATACCGACCTATGAATATGGATCTTTGGGCACATTCAAGGGAAAAGCTATTAGCGTTAATAATGTCGAGATATTGTATGGAGAAAGACATAACCAATTGCATATTTATTATATAATTATATACGATTGGTTAATTGTTTCACCGTTCGAGAACTTGGAGCAATTTCTAGTATTGTGGATACAAGGCTTTAAATAAGGATATAACAAGCAAATAGCTAATAACACGCTCCTCAAACGCAGTTATTTAGGCCCGTTCAGCAGACACAACTATTGTACAACTGTTGAGTTTGTCTTATCAACACTCTGCGTTGATTGGTTAGCTTAAAAAGTAAAAGCCAATCATATTTGACTGCTATTGAGCGGCTTGATTTGCTGAACGCGCCTTTTTTTTGTGTTATACGCGGAGATCAAATGTATATCTTGTACAGGGTCATATGACCATGATCTTGTGCCATTAACTTTAAAGCGGGGAGCACACACTTCTGCACAACGCATAATATATAAGCATAAGAAAATTGATTGGTCCATACACATGTGCATAAGGAAATAGACCAATCAGTTTTCTTATGCTTACGCATTATGCGTTGTGCAAAAGTATGTGCTCCCCGCTTAAATCCTCATCGTTTTAAAGATTATTTGTTATAAGAACAACACGTGGCTATGTATGTATACATACAATGCAAGTCATTATTATCCGTAAAGTCTGTGGTTTAATTCCATCCTTATTATACAATGTATTCCTTGATTAAGAAACGAATTTCCTGTTTTAAAGAGAAAAGTTAAGATTCTCCATAAGGTAAACTCTGTTCTAAATAGGTATATAAATATAAAATCTTTAACAATGATTGAGATTCATGGGTAATATTGTAAAATATATATGTATTTCCTTTTTATTAAATAGATTCAGAATTAGTTTTTCTCATAATGAGATCTGCAGTGGAAGAACAACTTAACCTAATAACATCAGGTTCTATTACTACAGAATCAAGTAACGCTCGCGTAAACGTAGTATAGGTTAGATTACCGGTTTCTTACAAAATATGTGATTTCTGCCCAGTGCTCTGAATGTTATGTGATTTTTGCCCAGTGCTATGAATGTCATCTAGTCATACATATCAAGAATTTTCGATGGGCTTCTTCAGAAGATAGGATACGAAGAAAATCCTATAACGGCAGGGAGCTGATGTCGAGGAGATTTTCCTGTTTACGCGAAGAAATTATCGTAAGTTATTATTATACTACAGAAGTAACGCTCGCGTAAACATAGTAATTTACATTATTCTTTACACGCTCATTTGTATGTTCAACATGTAAATACGTTATGTACGTGTGTTGGTGCAAAATATAAATTCGATATACTAATATTTATCTCGTTTATTTAGACGTGATAGAACACAATAAAGCTCACTTTCAAAAGTCCGTCACCTTTGGATCTTTGCTGTGGAACTCATTGCCGTCTATGCATTGGATATCTACTATTGGAAAGAGACACTCGCATTCTGCCTGTATATATACGATAACTCCATGTACGTCTGGTGGCTGCACAGCTACATGGACGACGTTCAATGATTTATGGCAGCTAGATTTGGGCACGAGGACATGGGCAGATCACCATGGGCAACTATCCATCGCCTAAAAAGCTTGTGCTACTATGCTTTATTATAAGAAAAGTTTGATTTTGTTCGGAGGCTGGTCTCATCCGTTGTATTAGGTAACTATTGAAGAAACTGACCAGCTTCAGTTAAGATATTGTATAAGCATATTGTAAATTTATATTAGATACTACAAAAGCATTCTTTAACTAAATTTATATAATCAAATCATGATCTCTGGAAGACAAATAGCCAAACTGTAATGTTACAAATTATATTATTTATATAACTTCTATTACTTATTTTACTTACAATTCTTTGTATTATAATAATTAAAAAAATATATATGCATATATAGGTTGAAATACATGGTATGACAGAATGATTTTATGGCTCAAAATAATAGAATAAATGTTTCAATATTTATAGCCTTGTTTTCAAGCAAAGGGACTTTGAAAGTTAAAAAAATATGTGTGTATTGTATAATAAAATATATTACAAGAGATAATATTTTTTTTCAGCATAAATGGATGGCACTGAGCGTTCTCCAGGTCACATTCGCAAAATGCACACGCTTCATCACAAGCGTC